CATGGTAGCTGGGAATCTTCATCTTCCTTTTGCAGATGGAGACATCAGACTGTTGGAGGTGAGCGAGGTTCCCCAGGGCACACATCATTCAGGACCAAGCAGGGTGCAGAAGGCAGAGGTGATTGTCAATCTCAGAGACTGTTCTCCAGGAATCCCCAGTGCAGGGTGCACTGGGCTCCTGTAGGGCCAGACAGGTGCCACGTGAGCAGAGAGCTGCGGTGGCCCCGAGGGTACACGCCGTCTCGGAGGGGACAGTGGTGCCAGGGTCTGAGGGATGGTTGGGGTTTCCCAGGTGCAGGAGATGGAGAAGCTGTGTTCACCAAAGCCCTGGGGGAAAAGTACAAGTTACGAGAGGTCGGGACAAACGTTTTTCACCAATGCTGGCACTTCCCCGCATGGCGCTGTGTGGTCTGGCACTGTCTTTCCTCTCAGGAACTGCAAGGAATAGGATGTCTTTCAATGGCACTGGCTGCTCTGTCCTCTGTAGTCAGTCACTGCTACAAATTCAATCCAGGTACATGCAAAACACAAGCCACAGTGTTAGCTTCAGAGGGTGGGGCGACAGGGACCAGCCAGTTCATACTAGCAAGGGGACAATTTGCAAACCTGTTTTCACTTCCTCTCATAAAAACTACACCCATTTTTCCTTTGGGACACACCTTGCCTCTCTGAATCTTGGTTCTTTCATTTTTCCATCTTTCTAATTTACCCCAGAAATTCATTTTACCTATTGAAATTAAGCAGAATCTTCATGGACAGGCCACCCTGTGAGGCCCAGAGAGGCTCAGCTACTATGTGAGTTCTCTACTGCTGCTCTAACAGATTACCAAAAACTTAGTAGTTGAAAACAAAACGAATGTATTACCTGGTAGTTCTGGAGGTCAGAAGTCTGAAACCAGTGTTGCTACGTTGCATCTTTCAGATTCTAGGGAAGAGGTTTCCTTGCTTTTCTGGCTTACACAGACCACCTGTGTTCCTTGGTTCATAGCCCTTTCCCCCATCTTCAGAGGCTGCAGTGTAACATCTTCAAATCTCTTTCAGTCTGACCCCCTGTTTTTATTTTTGATTGATTGTTAAGGTCTTGCCCTATGGCCAGGCTGGATTGCAGTGGGGTGATCATGGCTCACTGTAGCCTGAAACTCCCAAGCTCAAGCAATGCTCCCAGCACAGTCTCCCAAGTAAGTAGCCGGGACTACAGGTGAGCTCCACCACACCTGGCTAATTTTTTTTTGCACTCTTTGTAGAGATGGGGTCTCCCTATGTTGCCCAGGCTGGTCGCAAACTCCTGGCTTCAAGCAATCCTCCCACCTTGGCCTCCTAAAGCGCTGGGATTACAGATGTGTACCCCTGCACCTGGCCCCTCCTGCTGCTTTCTTATAAGGGCCCTTTTGATGACACTGAGCCCACAGGATCATCCAGGATTCTCTTCCCAGCTCAAGGTTCTTAACTAAGTCATGCCTGCAGAGTCCCCACTGCCATGGAAAGTAACAGTCACAGGTTTCAGGGATCAGATGTGGCCACCTTTGGGAGCTGTGATTCTGTCTACCACACTTACTTGCCCAATTGAGGCCCCGTGGCTCGTAACTGGCAGAGCCAGGAATGCAACACCAGACTGTGGAGTTTGTTGTGACTACACCGCCACTGCCGTAGCCACATCCCCATGAAAATGGCCACTTATGGCCGCTTAGCAAAACGCCAGCGCTCCTCTGCCCACACAGCTGGAGGAGGTAAAGGATCGTGCAGCGGACAGCAGCGTCATCCAGCCCTGCCGATGACTCACTGAGGAAGTGGGCCATGCATTTAGCTCTGTCTTAGTTGCTTGCTTCAAAGAGGATTAAAACCTTTGTTCCAGCGGTGTTTGGGGATTTAGCGTTGATAGAAAATACCGTGTTATTTTGCAGGGGAAACAGCCCTAAAGAAGGAAGGTAATCATATAATTATTTTGATTTAATCACTCTTGACTGTAACCCCACGTCTGTCCTACTTTTCAGCAAGCACTCGCTGGCTGCTTCCAGTAGGTTTGCCATGGTGCTGGGCTTACCGAACCAGCCTGCAATGAAGACAAATGACATCTCTAGCTTCCAGATAAAGAAACTGAGGCATGGAGAGGGAGGCGAACATTGGTAATCATTTGCCCAGAGTCAACAGCTAATAAATGTAAAAAGCAGGATTTGAACAGCAAGTTCAGGGCCGCCGGCTCCCACCTGGCCCTTTGTAGTGACTTGCTCTGCAGCTCCAGGACGTTCAGACCCACACTGGGATCTGAATGTAAAAAGGCAGAGACTGCAACACAAACATTCCAGTTCACTCCGAAAAAGGAGAAGAGCCCTGCAGCTTTTGCAACCCCTTCTGAAATTGCTTGCCTGGATTCCCGTCGTCAGGGCCCAGCTGAACACCCACCCCTTCTGGGAAGCCCCCACACCCACCTCAGCCCTTCCCTCATTCAAGACATGACACGAAGAAGGGCCTTGTCAATTCCTTTCAATTCCTACTGCTCCTCTCCCTCTGCTAACCTCTTATCATTGCCAAGACCCTTTCCTTCCACTCAAGTATTGCTAGGTTTCCATGGGCATGAACTGTGGAGTCATCTGTCGACTTTTAGAATCCTTACGGTTTAGAGGCCAGGTGCGTGGCTCACGCCTGTAATCCCAGAACTTTGGGAGGTCAAGGTGGGTGGATCATTTGAGGTCAGGAGTTCGAGACCAGCCTGGCCAATGTAGCAAAACCCCATATCTTCTAAAAATACAAAAATTAGGCAGGCATGGTGGCAAACGCTTGCAATTCCAGCTGCTTAGGAGGCTGAGGCACGAGAATCACTTGAACTCAGGAGGCAGAAGCTGCAGTGAACTGAAATAGTGCCACTGCACTCCAGCCTGGGTGACAGAGCAAGACTCCATCTGAAGAAAAAAAAAAAAATCTTTAAAGTTTGAAACTATCTTTGAATAAGAATATACATACATATTTTTTTGCTCTGTGCAGATAAGGGGTTGGGAAAGAGGGAAGATCTCTGAGGCTATAAGGAAGCTGTGTGTATCGCTGAAGCTGGGACAGGGCTACTGTCTCCATTACACGTGCAAAAAGACCTCTAAACTCCAGGCTCCCATGTTCTGTCTAGTACATATGGAACCTTCTTGATGCATAAGAATGGCCTCCCCTTTTCCTGGAGAGCAACCCCAGCACCTGGCTGGATGTGTACACCCTGGCACGTAGGTCTGTCTCTGGCCAGCTCTGAACCCTGCGTTCTGTACTCCATGAGAGTGACTGTCGATGGAACCTGCTTGTACCGCCTCCAAGGTGACACTTGGAAGACTGGAATAGAATACAGCATGGCCTCTCAAAACCATAGTGTCCAGCTTTCCTGGATCACAAAATCAGTTGGGCAGTTCCATCTGCCAGCCCTTCCCCTCTGCCTGTCAGCCATGGTGCAGATGTCATCCAGAACACTAGTATTGGAGGCCAGGCACAGTGGCTCATCCCTGTAATCCACTTTGGGAGGCCAAGGCAGGAGGATTGCTTGGGGCCAGGAGTTTAAGACCAGCCTGGGCAACAAAGTGAGACCCCATGTCTATGAAAATAATTTTTTTTTGGCGGGGCATCGTGACTCAAGGCCTGCAATCCCAGCACTTTGAGACGCCAAGGTGGGTGGATCACTGTAAGTCAAGAGTTCAAAACCAGCCTGGCCAACATGGTAAAACCCCATTGCTACTAAAAAATGCGAAATCAGCTGGGCGTGGTGGTGCATGCCTGTAAGCCCAGTTACTCAGGAGGCTGAGGCAGGAGAATCGCTTGAACCTGGAAGGCGGAGGTTGCAGTGAGCCAAGATCACACCACTGCACTCCAGCCTGGGCAACAGAACGGGACTCAGTCTTAAAAAAATATATATTTTATATATATATATATATATTTTTTTTTTTTTTTTTTAATTAGCTAGGCATGGTGGCATATATGTGTAGTCCAGCTACTCAGGAATTCTGAGGCGTGAGATCACTTGAACCCAGAAGTTTGAGGCTGCAGTGAGCTATGATCGTACCACTTGCCCTCCAGCCTGGGGAACAGAGTGACAGAGTGAGACACTCAAAAAAAAAAAAAAAAATGCCAGACGCCAGTATATGCTAAACAGCCCAAGACGCCGGCATCCAGAGTGTGTGTATATTCCTCGTGTGGATACTGGAGCTGGGGCCACCTGGTACAGGGACGTCAGGCTCTGTGCCAAACCCCATTCATAGCGACTACAGGCTGTGGAGCTGGGTATGCCCTTGCTGTAGAGCACCTGAGACACCCGCCAGGCTCTCTTGGAGACACAGTTATATCAATAAAAGGAGATAAGTTTGAGCTGTATTTATTTTAGGGTGGCTTTTGTTTCAATCAGAATTACTCATAAATTATCGATTAATTACCTTCTACTGTTCAGTTAAATCCTCTCAGCCACGGAGGCAGCTTCGCTGTGCAATGAATGCCATCCACCGTAATTATAGGGCACTATGTCAGCATTTAATCAGCGGTACTTATTAATGTGGCATTGATGTGTGTTAGCCCGTCCCACGCTATCTATCATGGGTGAGCAGCCAGCACAGATTCGGACACCATTGCTCTCTGTCCCATTAGCCAGCCCCTGGGCTTTCGAGCCAAGCATCATGCTCACTTTTCACTAAATAGACACTCTGTCTCGTCCATTCAATTCCATTTGTATCATTGTCGACTTAAACACTCATAAGCTTTTGAACTTCAGTCCCGAACGGCTGAGCAGGGCCTGACCAGTTCTCCCAGTGAGTGTGAAATCCCAAGAGACTGGTCTGTGATCGGGCGTCATGGCATGGCGTGCATGTATAAGAGAATTTTATATTCAACACAGCATATGACCTAGAGAACACAGAAGTGATCTTTTGGTTTCCTTTGGCTTACTATTTCTGGAGATTCTTCTATTCCTGAAAGCTCTTCCAATGAAAGCTATGTTGTGTTGGCAAAATAGATCTGATGGTGTCCTTTCTCTGTCTTTGCAGCCTCTATGGCAGACACATGCAGGCCAACCCAGAACCACCAAAGAAGAATAATGACAAATCGAAGAAGATCAGCCGGAAACCCCTGGCAGCCAAGAACAGATAAGGAAGGAGTTGGCATCGGCTGGCCTTCCAGCACCTTCTCTCTCCAACACTTCATTCTCTCTTGCTCTCTCAAATAAACACAATGCGTGTGTGGCCTTTTTTATTTTTCTTTTCACTCTGTAATGCTTCCCACCTTACCTTTTAGATTCTTTTGGTAGGTGGGAGATTGTTGTAAGGTCTTTAAACCATTTCCATTTGTTTCTTTAAAATTACGAAAAGCAGGGAACAAAGCTCTTATTCAACTGCAAATTCCATAGTGGGCTCAGGCTTTTGTTGAATAGACATCACAAGGTTGCTTATTATCAAAAGAATAATTAAAATCATGTAACCATTTAAATGTCACTGTTAACACTTTTCACTCTTTCTGTTGATTCACACAACTCATTATTTTGCTTTATTAAAAATCTTCTTCGCCACCGAGATATGTTAATTTAACTTACAAATGATTTTAATAAAATCTTGAGTGAGTTTGTATCACATGTTACTTGTTGACCCAGAATAAAAGAACAGTCTGATCTTGGGGTATAACACATTTTCATTTACTTTTCTCCCCCAAAATCATCTTATCCAATTTTATTGGTTATACATGATAAACTTTTCATGAAAGAAATGCAAAATTAAATCACAGTTCGTTTCTTCTCACATTAATTTGTCAAGTTTTTTTTTTTTCTTTGAAGACTTTCTAAATTAGGAAGCAGAAAAACAAATCTCTAGGAGATTCTGCCAAAGGATTTTGGAAAGTAGCATTCCTTCGCCGAAGAAATGGTGATTTCTGCCAGGGGCTGGTAGACAAGAACTGTGAAAGGGAGAGAGAAAAAACCTCAACTATGTTTTTTGTCACGGCAGAAAATCTGCTCACATCAAAGCATTCTTCTAAGCGACTTCGATGCCAAGGAAGTTGTGTAAATGTGCACACGCTACACCACACCCAGGGTGGAAACCACAGTTGCAGAGTCATTGATCAATCAATTGTTTAACATCTGTGAGGCAGCTTTCCTTCTTCTCAACAGGGAAACCTATGACAATGACAATAAATGCAAGCTCAGGTTTTGTGCTCACTGAAAGGGCTGCCAACCCCAGAAGGCCTCCCAAAAAAAAAGTGTGAAGATGCACCGTCTTTTCAAATGGCCTGGGAGAGGGGGCCTACCCTTCTCTGCTGTGTCCTTTCAACTTCCCAGTTGAGCTCCCAAGACCAGGATGCACTGGGGCGTAGAAAAATCCAAAATCAAAATCAAGCAACAAGTTCTGGGTTAATTAGGAAACAGACTTTGCATTTCAATCAGAGAGGCCAGAGAGCAAGGTCTAAACTTCTAGCTTCTAGACAACTTTCCTGATAGAACATTTAACTGTGGGAAGAGGCTTCCCCAGGTCCCATCTATCCCTGTTTAGGGATAGAGTTGATAACATTTTTGTAGGTGGCATGTTTGCCTCTACCTGAATTTTTTGAATTGATTTTTGAGCTTTTGAGATTCCAGGAGGGAGGACAAGGCCTCTGCTGTTGTGGATAGGAAAGGCTTAACCTAAAATTAAACCAGCAACGAAGCATTAGTAAAAATCTAACAATATGAAGGGCTCTTATGAGTGATTTTTTTCAAAAGATGAAAACTCCAGAAACGCACGGGAATGAAATACCTCCCAGAAACATGAAGCAATCATCGAAGACTCACTGGTAATATTTTTTAAAAGTATACAAATCAAAGCAAAAATAAGCATGTGTAACAATGAGAAATGTGCAAATATCTTTTAAGGCAGTACTAAGTGCAAGAGGAGTAACATGAAATAAACATTCTTTCACACGGCTACTGGGAATATAAATTTCTCTCCAGAAAGGTCGTGGCAGTTTGACGATAGGTGGCAAAACCTGAAGATTGTGTACTTGGGCACAGAGTTTTTATTTCTAGGAATGTATCCTGAGGAAATTATTAAACTGCAGTGTTTAGAAATTGTCCGTATAGCATTGTATACACAAGAAAAACAAAAGCCTGATGCCTGTCAGTGGAAAAGAGGTTCAATGAATGATGGTGTATCTGCATGAGGTTTCCATGACATTAAAAATTGTTGAACAGTGGCCACGCACAGTGGCTCATGCCTGTAATCCTAGCACTTTGGGAGGCCAAGGTGGGAAGATTGCCTGAGCTCGGGAGTTCTAGACCAGCGTGGGTAACACGGTGAAACCCTATCTCTACTAAAATACAAAAAATTAGCCAGGCGTGGCAGTGTGTGCCTGTAGTCCCAGCTACTCAGGAGGCTGAGGCAGGAGAGTTGATTGAACCCAGGAGGCAGAGGTTGCAGTGAGCTGAGATTGCACCACTGCACTCCAGCCTGGTCGAAAGAGCAAGATTCCATTTCCAAGAAAAAAAAATTGTTCAACAATAAGGGCAAAGGGAGAGAATCATAACATCTGATTAAATAGAAAAAGCAAGATTTTTAAAACGACCTATGTAAGGATGGTCCCAGCTGTGTCAAAAGGAAGCTGTTTATAATATGTATGCATAAAAAATTAAAGAGATGGAACACAATTTTAAGGCAGATAAATTATCTCCGTATTGCAAACTAAGACTTTCTAGAATTTTACACTTACTCATTCTGTAAATTTTTTCTAATGAACACATATACTTTTGTAATCAGAAAATATTAAATACATGTATTTTTCAAAATGAAATTGGTATGTCATGGTATGTTATGCAATCCAGGAAATACATAAGCTTAAGGCATAATATGAAATGTCAGGAGGGTTTTTTCTCTTTTTGTTGCCAAAATGGGTTTCAGGTCTCTTCCTACAGTTTTTAGTTACTTGATATCTGGATCAGCAAACAAAATATCCAAAGTTTGAAAGGTGGCCCCTTTTGTTTTTTGTTTTTGTTTTGTTTTGTTTTGTTTTGTTTTGAGATAGAGTCTCACTCTGTCACCCAGGCTGAAATGCAATAGCATGATCTCAGCCCACCGCAACCTCCGCCTCCTGGGTTCAAGCAATTCTCTCCTGTCTCAGCCTCCCGAGTAGCTGGGATTCAGGCACCCACCGCCACGCCCAATTAATTTTTGTATTTTTAGTAGACACGGGGTTTCACCATGTGGGCCAGGCTGGTCTCGAACTCCTGGCCTCAGGTGATCCATCCGCCCACCTCGGCCTCCCAAAGTGCTGAAATTACAGTCATGAGCCACCGCGCCTGGCTGAAAGGTGGCCTTTTCACCAAGATAATCTAACCTTTTCGCACAATGATGAAATCAGCTCTCCCCATTGATGCCTTGCAATCCGGTCTTCCAAGTGCTAAGAGCCCACGTGGGAACCTGCACATATATTTTTATTCCTCATTTGAAACTTCTTCCCCAGGGTTTCTCCCCTTTATGAAAAACACTTGCCTTGCCCACGTGGCTAGGTATCTTAGAGATGTTATGCAAAATACTTTCATGCACATAATCACATATGGTTTGTGCTAGAGCCTTGTGGGATAGGCAAGGCAGGTTATTTGAGAATAAACTGTATAAAGGTTCTCAGATCTAGGAGAGAAGTGTTTCTCTTTATTTGCTGGAGGTGATATGTTTATTAGGAGTCTATTGATTTTTTTTTTTTTTTTTTTCAATTAAGGTAGGAGCAAGTAGAAAAAGTGGATGGGCCATTTGGCCACAAAACCATTTCTCTAAGCTTTGTATCACCCCACGTTGGGAAATACTCCTGTGGGATAAAGCAGCAGGCCCCCAGTCACATCAGGTTCGCCCTTTGGAATAGAAGCGACTTGTACACCACTCTGCAGAAGTGAATCTTCACTTTGATAAACTTGAAGAGAAATCCTGTGACTGCATAGAGAACTGACTTGCCCCAATCATTGTGTCCGTATTCACTGAAAACAGAAGTTGCCCCTGTCCATGTTTTATCCTGTACTTTTACTTCCTTCTACAGACTCTGTACTCAACACGTTTGTTGCCTCGAATTGCAAAGTCAAGTCACTAATAGTTCAATTTCTAATAAAGCTTCATAGTCATAATATCCCATAAGTACCATGTTAGAAAATCCTCTGGGCTCTACCTGTAAAACAACCCAAACTGAAGACTTTGCACCATCTTCTTCCATGCTGACCCAGGTCACCCTGCCCTCTTGCCTGCTCCACTCTGGTATCCTCTGGTGGGCCTCTTGCTTTTGCACTGAGATCTCCAGGCAACAGAGCACATCTTTATATGCTGACATCACATCAGGACGCTCTTCTGCCCCCAGTCTTCCAGTGAAGTCCCCTTGTGTCTTTCACTCAGAGTGAAAGCCTAGGTTACCAGTATCTAGGTTACCCCCACTCCTCCAGGTTCTTCCCCTTAAGATTTTTGTGCAGTTGATTCTTTTCTAGAATGTTCTGCCAAATATGGACCTATAACTCCTTCACCAACTTCAAATCCTAGTTAAAAAGTCACTTTCTCAACAGAGCCTCCCCTGATTACCCTGCTTTAAATTTGCAATTTATTTGGTCAGTCACCTGCCTCCCACCCCCAGTGCAGTGGAGGCTCCTCCAGGAAAAGGGTGAGCCAGCTACAGTTCAGAGGCACCCAGACGCCAAACCTGGTCTACACCTGTTTTTGTAAATAAAGTTGTGGGAACACAGCCATTCCCATTCATTTACTTAAGGTCTGTGGCTGCTTTTTTTTTTTTTTTTTTAATTTTGGAGGTGGCGTCTCCCTTCGTTGCTCAGGCTGGAATGCAGTGACACGATCTTAGGTCACTGCAACCTCCACCTCCGGGGTTCAAGCCGTTGTCGTGCCTCAGCCTCCCAACTAGGTGAGATTACAGGTGTGCACCACCAGAGCCGACTAATTTTTGTATTTTTAATAGAGACAGGGTTTTGCCATGTTAACCAGGCTTGTCTCAAACTCCTAGCCTCAAGTGATCCATCTGCCTCAGCCTCCCAAAGTGCCAGGATTACAGGCATGAGCCACCATGCCTAGCCAGTCTGTGGCTGTTTTTATGTGACGACAACAGAGCTGACTGACTGAGAGACCCTGTGGCTCACAAAGCAAACGGTTTCTACTATCTGGCCCTTTCCAGAGAAACTTCTGCGGATTTTTCTATCAGCTGTTACATCCCCAGCACCCAGAATGGTGCCCTGTGTACAACAGGGGCTCAATAATGATTTAATTGAGTAGACTACAAATTGGATCATTGTGATTAGGGTGATACAAAGCTAATATTAAGGTAGAGGGAAGGGAAAAAATCCTAGACATTCCTTTTATACTTTGTCATTCAAGGCTACTTTATCAAAGCTAAATTCTCCTAAAGGAAAAAAACCTGTGAATATTACTACAGGCGAGTTTATGCAACCCTGTAAGAGTTCAAACCTTTACGTGAATGTTTGGTTTTCCTTATAATTACCCAATTGTTTCATACCTGACCATTTAGCCTTCCTCAAACAACCATCAATTTCTTCAGTAACAAAACCAGAAAGGGCTGGCACCCCAATTTACCTGTATGAACCCAGAAGAAGGGTTCGTGTCAAAGGTGAAATCCAAACTGCCCTTGTCAATGTGAGTCAATTCAGATGTTTAGAAGCAGCAGAACTGGCAAGTAAAGTGACAAGTCTCTGTTCTCTGGACGTTTTATGACCTGAAATCAGGCATTAATCATGTGTGTATCTATTTATAGTATCATGTGATCCTACCATATATG